GGGGGACGACTGCTTGGATTTACACTGTTTTCTACTCACCAGCTGGGCGATAATGAGCAAATTACTTACAACCTCTTCAGGCCTTAATAGTAAGGCTACACTTTGCATAGTGCCTGGCACACAGTGAACACTCAATAAATGTCATTTTAGGAGATGTAGTTTTAGAGTGCTCAAACTGTGGTTTAGACTTCTTACCTTTCTGTTTCTGGATTTCTGAGGTGTTTTTCTTGATTTTTGGACCACAACAAAACTCCCAGAAGCACCTTTTCCTTTTACCTATGGTAAATTAATTTTAGTTGCGATAACCAATATTTTTATTTTAAATTATCCTGGTATTAATATTTATAACTTTATATGAGACTAAGCAAAGTACAGGGCATGACGATACAAGAACTAATGTAAAATGTTGTTCAACTCTTCAGAGAAAAAAGAACAATGGATTAATCAAAAGACTTGGGACTGAATCCCATTTATGGTACCATCTAGCCATTCAATATTGGACAACCCCATGAAGCCTCTGAGCTTTTGTTCCCTCGTCTAGGAACCTGGGGAAGAATGCTATTGTGACACCAGGTTAACAGTATATATAAGCTATCCACCCCGCATGAAAGAAGGTATAATCTCTTGGGGAAAATGAGAAAATCTCTATCTTGAAAGGAAGACTGCTCCCTGGCAAAAGTTTACGGACCGCTGATCTCAAACTATAGTGCTTCCCAGACCACCCATGAGCATTACTGCACCTGTGACAGTTATCTAACTCACAGCCACTGCATATGATGGTATGTGTAAGTCTTACCACGTGTTTCCACAGTTTACAAAGCACTTTCACAGAACTTTAAAGCTGATTCACACTAACCAGAGTCCTCCACACCTTAGCTTTATTTATGCTATCTTGAACATAGCAATCAAGCTGAAATACTTTCAGCCTGTAAAGTGTTGTTTAAGCATCAAAATGAGGTTCAGCCTATGAGGCAAGAATAGGTCATAAACTATATTTCGTAAAGAAAAACACGAAGCCAGCTCATCAATTATGCTGACATACACTATGATTGAGGACAGATCTTTGGCTCTAATTACACTGGTTAGATAATACCTTTCAGTCAGAGACCATTACAAAGGCCATATAAACATCAGTTATACAACATTTTGAGAAAACTATAACGTAAGCTCCACGGCAGAAATCTGCTTTACTCACTGATGGGCCCCCAAGCACCTGGCACACAGGAACAATTTGTATTTGTGGAGTGAAGTACTTGTTGGAAGTTCCTAAGCAGAATTTAAATGCCTGAATGGCACAGAATTCTGTGTTCATCAGATTGTGCAGAAAGGTATGGAAGAAAGGCAACGGGACTCTCAGAATGCAATGAACTAGGTCCTTTGAACTATTTTTGCCACTACCATGGCATTGTGGTAATTACTTCATCCCTCTGAACCTTTGAAGAAAATTTAGGCAAGATACACTCCATTCCAACTTAAAATTTTTATGTTTCTAAGCAATGTTTTGATGTACTAGGCAAAATAACGTAGATTTATGCCCGAAATCAATACTGGTTTTAGTACTAGTCTCAATTTACTCAGGCTTCTCTAATGCTCCTAACAAGCTTCAATAATTTTAGACACTGTTAAGATGAACCTATTTACAAATTTATAATGGTAACAAGTCTAGTCATAAGGTAGACTTTAAAACTAACAAATGCAAGACGAGAGCAATTCTTTTTTGCTGCTGCAATAAAAGAATTCCTTAACCCCACCTCTCATCTTCAGTACATGATCTCAAGCACAAGGGGCCCCCAAAGAAAATCCAATTAGAAGTACAAGCAGCACTAGAAAACAATTATGCTATCATATTGCTTCTGCTCTCCAGAACAGTTAACTTATCAAAGGTAACTGGCACCAGTGATCTGAAACCTAGTCTCAAATAATAAAACTAGGCCATGCTTAAACATTTCATCATCATGTTAATTTATATTTTTACAAAAAAAAAAAAAAAAAAAAAAGACAAAAAGCCTAAATGTTATTATGGACTTACAGCTATTACATGTTGAAATGATCTTATCCTCAACAATTGTTTAATACCTGTTTGATGACACCTCTATTTAATTCTCTTTTTAGTGCTTGTTTAAGGAGGTAGCCCCTTCTCTCCAGCTCCAGAGAAGGGTACTTATGGATAATGTATTTCCGAATAGCAACCACTGATGCACCACTCTTCTGGAAGCATGCCTAGAAAACAGATTTACCGAAACACGCATATTACTTTACACTAGCTGTTTTCATTAGACAGAGAATCTGACACATGTTTTCAAAATAAACTATTTTGGAGATGAACTTGATAATGAATGATAAAAATGGCACGGAAGAATGAGTAGTATTTCAGGTAACTTCAGTTCATCATGGCTGTGGAGAAATACAGAATTACAATATTTTTGCAACAATTTTACTTTAGTTCAAACCAGGCAAAGAGAAGACACAACATGTGAAGAACAACATTCTGTGTGTCAAGGAAGAACCTCTTTCTATTTTAATTCTATTTTGTATTTAGAAGACAGATCTTTAGCATTAAAATGAAAAAAAAAATAGAACATTTCTATTACTTGCAGGATTACAGATCTGGCTCATTTTATGGAATGAGCTTTAGCACACCAGGACCAATGTTTCTCTCTAGGCTTTATGCAAATGTCAGCAGAGAAGATAAACAAAGATAATCTGAATAAATGGCATAAAACTGGTTTTATAAATGGCAAAATCTTAAGGAGAGTTTTGGGTAACAATGAGGACATTCAATTGCAATTTAAAATGCTCTCTTTCATTTCCATCCAATTTAACTATATTCTATTTGATTAATGCCCAAGGAAGACTCAAGTAGGTCATTAAGTCAGGAAGGTGGCAAATTTTTTTCAAGTGCTTTACATTTTGAAGCATACGTAAGCAGCATCTGTTATTTACCTAATGGGCTAGTTCACCACTTCTGTGTTGTCTTTCTCTATAAACTGAATGGAGAACTTACTCATTCTCATTGGATAAAACACTTGGTTGAATTTTATTTTATATACTTTGACAATAAAGAAAAAAATTCACAGGCAGATGGAGCAGAAAAGACTACAGAACATAAAACAAGTTGGGTTAATATGGTTCACCTATTTCAAGTAAATGTTTCTGACCTATCAAAACCACTGATGTTTACTCCTGATCTTAAAATACAAAGAAAATCAAACGGAAAAGAACCCTCTAATGCTAAAACAATTCCATGCTCCACCAAACTGACAATGAGATGGAAGCAGACATCAGGACTCCTGTTTGATTCACAAAATGGTTCTGGTAGTCTGAAATCATGATTTGTTACACTGCATGGAACACACACCCACCCACCCCTCATTTGTACAAATATGCACAATCAGATTCAAACTATTCTTTAGACCTAATTTATACTGTTCTAATTTTTTGTTTCACTATTTAAAATTTTGGTCCTTCTCCAACCTCACTGTGACCCTGCTTCTCTAAACTTAGGCTGAGTGGTCATGAAGTGAAAACCTTGATGAAAAGCTATACAAAGAAATGAGATCTCACCATAGTCAAGCTATCTAGACCAAGAAAGTTTCAAGGAGTTGAGAGCACTCTTAAAAGAATACAGGGAGGAAAAAAAAAAAAAAAGAAGAATGCAGGGAGAGGTCTAAAGACAAACTCTTTTCCAGTTTATATGTCAGTGCTGTCTTCTCAAATTCTGAGAATGACCACTAGGCTGCCCCTTCCTATGTATACCATCCTTGATTAAATTGGTTTTTATCCCCCTTTCCCCAACTCTGACTCAGATCCTAGCAACAAGGTCCCTAAAATGAGGGTGTCTTTGGCTCCTATCTTAGCTTCTCTTATCATCTCATCATGTGAATTAACATGGCAAAAGTAACCAGAAAAACTTACACAAAAAAGGCAAGGTCAGATTAGAAGATAACCTTAAAAATCAAGGGGCTTGCGTGGCTCAGTAGGTTGAGCATTGATTTTGGCTCAGGTCATGGTCTCACGGTTTGTGGGATCAAGCCACGCGATGGGCTCTGCGCTGAGAGTATGGACACTGCTTGGGATTTTCCCTCTCCCACCCTCTCTGCCCCTCCCCCACTTGTATGCACGAGCGTGCACAAGTGGGGGAGGGGCAGACAGGAAAGACAGAATCCCAAGCAGGGATGCGGGGCTCCAACTCATAAACCGTGAGATCATGACTTGAGCCAAAGTCAAGAGTCAAGATGTTTAACTGCACGACCTAGGTGTCCTAAAATAAACAGACCCCCCCCCCAAAAAAAAGATGCCCTTAAAAATTAAAATTAAGAAACCTACATGAGGACCCTTAAGCTAATAGAAGTCAATGGATTATAGAAAAGTCATAAAGGAGGAGAATTTTTGGTGATGAAACAAAGTAGTAAGGTTTCTAAGAAGGTTTCTTATAGCTCAGGTAGGAAAGCTAACCACTACCAGTATTAGACACTCAGATTTGAAAAATGAACCTAAAGACAGTAAATCTTTTTTGGGGCGCCTGGGTGGCTCAGTCAGTTAAACGTCCAACTTCGGCTCAGGTCATGATCTCATGGTTTGTGAGTTTGAGCCCCATGTCAGGTTCTGTGCTGATAGCTAGGAGCCTGGAGCTTGCTTAGGATTTGGTGTCTCCCTCTCTCTCTGGCCTTCCCCTGCTTGCACTCTCTCTGTCAAAAATAAATAAACGTTTAAAAAAAATTTTTTTTTTAAGATAGTGTATCTTTTTAAGATAAAATCCTCTATGCTATTCCGTTACTCTCAGTCACAATCAGACTTTCATAAAGGCAAAGATGACCCTGTTTTATTCTGTTATATCCCTAGCAGGATTATCTGACACAGAGAAGTTTTAGTTAGTCCTTAAATGTTTGTTGAATAAATTAACAGGTTCAGCCTTCAAAGAAATACTATACTTAACCAATAAAATGAGTGTAAAAAAAAAAAAAATCTAAAATTAAAAATACTTGCTATAGTAAATTTGAATTTAAAAAATTAACAATGCTCACCAAATGTGATTTTCTTAAAAAACAAAAAAACAAAAACAAAAACAAAAAAACACATGAACTTCACAATGGCTTTCTTCTACTTCAGTATCTTTTAGGAAACAGCAAGATTTCTGATGTCTGGACAGGAATATGCCATTTTCAAATAACCAAAAGACAAACAGAATAAATCTAAGATGAACTGCTTGTAATAAAAACTTGCCTTAATGGCCTCAGTTAGGATTGCATCCATCTTGGGACGTGGGGAGGAAGCCATCGGTGTTTGTTTCTGGGCCCTGGCTAGCTGGCTGGCAGAAAGGGTAGCCCAGGAAGGTATTGTTTTTTTCACTTTCTTCTCCTTTTCTTTAGACTGATCTTTCTCACTTTAAAACAAAGAATTGTTATTATGCAAGGTAAACTCTCCAGAAAGAGGTATAAAGTCAGAAAGAAGAATAGACAAGAGAGGGATAAAAATTAATGTTTTAATTTACTTCCACACTAAAGTGATATATAAAATAAGCAAAGTTTGACAAAATAAAACCTTTTTTAAAAATTGGATACTGTAAATGAACCAAAAAGGTGTTTTCTCTTAGGTACAGGGGAGAGAAGTCATATAAATTAGCACTGGTATGAAGGACCAGCACATGAAAGAAATGAGAATTTTAAAATGTATTCTAATAACTACAACAGGTGTAATTTAGCACAGTGAAAAGAACTCAAGCTCTGAAGTCAGAAGACCTGGGTTTGAGTTTTTGCTCTAACATTTCCTAGCTGTAAGACTTTAGCCAACTGACCTGAATCTCAGCTTCCTCAGCTGTAAAATAGTAATATAAAACATTTTATAAGGTTGTTGCAAGAATTATGAGATTATGTTCATAAAAACAATTTTGTGAGCCATAAAGCATTATACAAATGTATTCTAAATAATCATAACAGTACCCCATGCAACTAAAATATAGGGTAGCTGCTAAAAATTCCACAGAACTTAAACCTATAAAGCTGGGATAAAGGATTCCTTGAGGATTACACCTAGAAGGTATAGTTATTACTGAGTTACTCTTTTATTTTAAATGTAATTCCTAACTGTTCTGACCAATTACGAGAAGAATGCAACCAGTTATCCTGCAAAAAACAAACAAACAAAAAAGCCCTCTTCAAATTAACAAAGAATTTCCACCACACTGTACAAATTATCAGTAGCAAATTTTGCTTTCAGATTCTCAAAGTCACCGTCCAAATGTACACATTTTTAGGTGACTCTGGCAATGGCTGATACAGATTAATGTTTTCTAACATAAACATATAAAAACAACTCGCAAAGGTATAGGTAGGAATAAAATGGTCAAGTGTTTCCCAGGTCAGATTTTTAGAGTCATGTTTCATTTCTTATTGAAATTATGTCAATGATTAAAATATGAGACACTCCCATAATGAATCCTAAGTACACAAAAAAAAGTTTCAAAGGCAAAAGCAATGAATTTTGGGTTATTCAAACCATTGTTGTAAGAGCTACAAGCTCTAATAGGCCATAGAACTATATAATAAACCTATTTCAAACAGTAATTCTAAAAAGTAAATCCAAGTAAGTAGCAAACATCTAGCATAAACCAATGATACAATCCTTTAAAACAATCTGATCTACAGTCCTTTTACACAGTCTTCAATTTTAAATAGCAAGAAGGCATAACTCCTTACTCCTTTTTGGTTTCCTCAGAAGACTTGTTCTCTTCCTTCTCTTCGTTCTCAGGTTCTCCCTTTGGCTGCTCTGTCTCACTAGATGTAGCAGGTGGAGTTTCATTCTCTTGTTCTTCTACAGTGGAGACAGATTCCTCTGAACTTATATCTGGTTCTAAAAAATCAGGTGTGCAGAATGGCATCAAATAGATAGATTAGAGCCTGAGTCAATAAAAGGGTAAAAGGCTATATTATTAAACAGAGAAGCCAAATGTTCCAATTGACAGACTTTAAAACGAATAAGTGTCTATCAGTTGCAGTGTTCTTTCCTTCCTTATGTAGCTCTAACTGCCTGTTCAAAGGTTGTTTATCCAGACCACTATGTGGAAAAAGGAGATGGACCAGGGAATTACACAGAAAGAGAAACTCATTTTACCCTGAATCAAACCTCTTGCCTGTTCTCCTCTGCAATATTAATGAGATTCATAATTAAGACATTAGCTATTTCATAATTTAACAGATGAATCTTAGTAAGGGAATAAGTAATAGAAAGTTAACACCTATTTTCCAAGTGAAAAGACTGGGGCAAGAGCAGAAACGTGAGGGGGGAATACTGAGGTCTGCAGTGGCTTGTTTGTGTCTTTTCTCAGCAAGCCTCTTTGAGCAGTACTACAAAATACAGAGCCCCAGATATGGTTAAATAGGGACTTCAAAGAAAGGACTCTCCAATGGCAAAACATAGGCAAAAAATAAAAGTATATGCTTGAAGAGTTTGGTCATTTAAATTATGTGAACAAATTATTATCATAATGATGACAAATCCTAAAGAACAAAAAAATGCCGGGGCGCCTGGGTGGCTCAGTGGGTTAAGCATCTGACTTTGGCTCAGGTCATCATCTTGTAGTTCATGGGTTTGAGCCCTGTGCGGTCAGCACAGAGCCCCCTCAGGATCCTCTGTCTCCCTCTCTGTCCCTTTCCTGCTTGCATGTGCAAGCAATCTCTCTCTCTCTCAAAAATAAACATTTTTTTTAAAAAAAGAACAAAACCATGCCACTTACTTCTTATAACCAAACTACATATATACAATTCTAAAAGAATTTCTAATTTTCAACAAATTAAAATTCTAAACCCTGAATTTCAGGACAGTCAACTGTCATTTGTTGATCTCATCCTGGATTATGTTCTTCAATGAGACATGCATAAAGTTTGAAAATCCTCCCATATGTTTAGCCAAAATTGAGGTTTTAGAGTCAAACATACCTGGATTCAAAAGTTCAGTCCTTATAATTTTCTAGCTTCGTATCTTATGGCAAGTTCTTTGACATCTCCAAGCCTTAGTAATCTTACCTCACAGAGTTATTATGGGGATTCTATAAAATGCTTTAGCGAATACCTGTACTTGTACCATGTGGGTGACTCCCATCCTCCTTCAGCCTCTCCTGCTGCTTCTAGAACTATTTTGCAAAATATTAAAGCTAGAACTTCATTCTAACAATGGCATCAGGTAATTCAGATAATTTTTTAAATCACATATGTATCTTTTACTGCCCCTTGGCCCACTAATTTGACTTAATTGGCTTCATGGGTAAGGACTTTCTATTAGTCATTATGTTTATTTATACATGGTCTTATTCTAAAAAGGATGAAAAGAACCACTTACTGGGTTTTCCTCTAAGAGTAGAATTATACATTCAATTTCATATTATTTTCTCTTCTCAAGAATAATTGCTTAATAGTTGATGGATTAATAAATGTACAGTCACTCAACAGGCACTGAGTATGTAGTATGTACAAGACACTGCTTCCAACTCATTAAACTATTGTGTCTGTCTCCAAAATGCAAGTATGTACTTTTATATACATTAATACCATAGTGGGAAAAGATAAAACACAGAACTCGTCAAGCGACTTACTGATCCCTTCTGAATTCTTGTCTGACTTTTCCAATACCTGAACTCTCTGGCTTGTATTCTGGAAACTGAGGTCATTAATGATTTAGTGGCTTTACCTGTTAATCAAATGTGGTTTAAGGCAGGCCATCAAGTGGCTTAACTCAGTGCCGGACAAAATAACCAAACTTCAACTCACCAGCACCTCTCATTTTGTAATTTTATTTGGGAGAAAAGAGAGAGAATGTGTGAGCAGGGGAAGAGCAGCAGAGGGAGAGAGAGAATCTTAAGCAGGCTCCATGCTCCGCACAGAGGCCAATTCAGGGCTTGATCCCATGATCCTGGAATCACGACCTGGGCCTAAAACAAGAGTTGGAGCGCAACCAAGTGAACCACCCAGGCGCCTCCCTCTCATTTTTTTTAATATGCTGATTCCCATGTCTCCTAAATAAGCAATTATACCCAAATTGCTTACAGTATTCATCTGAGTATTTTGAGACAAAATCCAGGTTCCACTGGAAAAAAGTATATTCCTGCCGCACCAAGGGATAAAGGCAACAAGAGTGCCTTATTCCTAACCTGTGCTGGTAAACGGATATTTAGTTCTAATAGCCACGACAGGATGGTGCTCATCCCTGGCAAACCTGAGATAAAAAGCAAGGGAGAAAAAGAGAAAAGGAAAAGAAAGAAAAAAGTCACAAGAAGAAAATGAAAAACAAGGAAAAGGAAAGAGGTGATTAAAGATGCCATAACGGAGCACGATTACCCAGGTTGATGGTTTTACATTTCTCTTGACTCATTATGTTTCTACCTATGTCCAGCCAATCTTCTCTCCACCAATACCAAATATAAACCAATGCTCTGATTGCCCCTTTGCTCCCTTAAGGCCTTGTGATAATTTCTGAGGGATCTTGTACTGTCCGTCTAGAAGTCCCAAGTCCCCCATTCGTCCACAGCCTTCATCCCCAAGACACCGTATGCCCAGAAGCTACTCTTCAACTGTTCCTGTTCTCGCCAACCATTTTCTGTTTTTCATTCCAAGAACATGAAGTTTACACCTTCTAAAAATCTTTAGAGACAAGATGAAATTCTTCCTTTGCTCACTTTGGTCTGGAAATGACGTATCAATAGGTACAACTTCTCTCTTTCAGTGTTTCCCCAAAACAGCCATGAAAAAACAATTAAGTTCAAAGGAATTCACAGGATACTCTGAATTGGAGTAGAAACTTCTGCCATTTCAAGTTGTCTCCTGCTTTACTTTACCTGGCTTTTCTTCCTCCCCTTCAGCAAGCTTGCTTTTGGGAGGAGTTTCTCGTGTAGAATTCACAGTTCGACGAATCGGCATGGTGCTATCTTCCACCTTCTGAGAAAAGAGACAGCCATAATCACACATGCATGAAAAAAATTTTCTTTTTCTCTTTTTCTCAAGAACCTAACTGGGTGTCAGAAGACGTAGGAGAATTCTTCAAGTCGACTCCAGGATCTGATGCAAATTATTTTTAACAAGTTTTTTTGAAGTGAACCATGGTGTTTAAGAAGTACTTTTCAAAGTATTTTATTTTAGCTAGAATTTCAAATGGAAACTGGTAATATACTTGATTTGGAATAAATTTAAAAGGTTGGAGGTTTTCTGAGGAATTTGAGGGGAAAGGGAAGATGAAAAGAATTTTTTATCTCTTTGATTTTTTCAGATTCACAACCCAGACTCCCCAAAGGAAAGGAAAGGAAAGGAACATGTACCAAGAAAGACCCAGCAGGGTCTGAAGTCAGGGACTGATCCAAGAGTGAGCTTCAAGAATGTGTCAGCCCCTACCTCACCTAACTTGTCCGCGTGGATCAGCTGAGCTCCTACTATAAGTGGGAGTGCCTTAGGATGGACGAGTTCACCTTGAGACGTATCAGTCGCCATTTAAAATAATTTCTAGGCCCGAGTACAGGTTACACTCTGAAGCCTCTGCTGTTAACCACAAGGATTTTTCCTAATGGTTTCAGTGTGCTGAAGAGTCAACCTAAAGCACAGAAAAGACCTGGTGTGAAGATTAACAGAAACAAAACTAAACTAAATGTCTAAATTTAATACACATCCAAAGGGGAAAAATTAACTATAAAACTTACAGTTAACTGACAGATGACTCGGTCAGTTATCACTAAGAAAGATAAAATCACTATCAAAATATACACCAGATTAAAGCAGCCACTAAGACAAACGCACAAGCCACAGCAGCTGTTGCACCTTCCACATGAACAAAGGCAACAAGGACAAGAAAGCTCGTAAGGAACCTAATCCCATTCCCCTCCTGCTACCATTAGGAACTTAGAGAGGACAGAATAAGCAGACTAAGGAATAGTTTAGTCAAATGTTTCCTCAAAGATAAATGACTAAAGAGAGAAGGGTTTTGTTGTTATTGTTCTCAAAAGGATCAGGAAAATTAACTGTAACTTTAACTTCATCTCCTTTAGATAAAAGTAATACAAGGGCAAAAATACTCCTGAAGAACGTGATACTCTAACAGCCTCCAGATCCAGAGAGGCAAATTCAGACCATCACCTAGGAGAACAGAAGTATGCTTCCAAGACCTTATTTGTTATTTTTAAAGTAAGCAAAACTAGCACAGAAGAAAGAACATAATTAAATATCCAAAGATAAAACCCATGTAGTCACTCAAATTTGCCTGGTCATTAATACTCTCTGTCCTCAAAAAAAAAAAAAAAAAAAAAAAAAAAAAAAAAAAAAAAAAAAATCTCATCTGGGACTCAGTGACATTTTATAACAAAAATCTCTCCAAAATATAAGAAAATGATCATTTAGGTGCTTAGACCTTTGGGCTAACGAACATTAACAAAGAATTAGAGAACAGTAGATCAGTCATTCAACCCCTGCTTGAAGCTCTAACCCTGTCTAGGAATTTAAGTTTTCAATTTGTCAGGTAATAGTCTCAAGCTACAATAACTGGGATAAATTAAAACAAACAAACAAAAAACCCCAAACATAAAGAATGCTTTCACATTTACAGGGAATATCTTTTTATGGGAACACCAAGAGCAATGCCAGACTTGTGAATGGTCAATCAGCTGCAAACAAATGCAGTTGAAAGAATTCAAGATACACTGAAACTTACTATCAAGAGTCAATTAGCAATATCCATGAATATTTTTAAAATTATCAACTGTTATAAAAACTGCTTAAAATGCTCATATGGCAATTCACTTTGAAGAACTATAAAATACAGAAATAAAAAACTGTTTTCTCATCTGTGAAAAGAGGGCCACACTGGCCTTCAGGACACTCATAAGAAACCCCAAAGTCTTGTGAAACCTAAATGTCTATCTTGGAATAATCTGAATACATACACCTGCTCATTCATGGAACTAGCACTTACATGGTAATATATTTTCCTTGACAATAAAAAAACCTAAGCAAATCTGCTGCTGTCTTTACATGTGAACCCTACACAGAAGGAAACTATCATGATCAAGTTATCCTTGGTAAAGTGATATTGCTAATGAATTCATCTTTCCTAACCCACGATAATACTAGGTAGGGTGAAAATGCTACTGTCAAGTCAATAAAACCTTCAGGAATCTCTGCTCATAGGGTATCTTGAAAACAATTTTTTCCCTGTAAACACAATTACTGAGAAAAGTGTCAAAGCCTTTCCAGTCAACTATATTCACTAATTACTCAAAATTAAAACAAACGGGTGAAAAGGGGAGGAGGCGCACAGAGGAAGCTATCACTAATGCCAAGGTGATGAAACTAAAATTGGGGCAACAAGCGCATGGTCCATAAAGACACTGGACACCACTAACCTAAGGACAAAATGAGTTTAAATTAGGCCAGATAAGACGTATGCCCAGGTTGGAATTTAAAAAAATAAATAAATAAGTTGGTTTGCCAATGTTCCTGGCTGCATCCACCAAAAATATAAATCCTGACACCCTCCTGCTTAAAAACTCCCTATCACCACCCCCATTATTTTACTAGTCCCACCTCCCACTCTATCACTCTACTTTCTTGACTCCAAACACAAAACTTCTTTTGGCCCTGGCACTGTGCTCTGCTCACCCCTCCCTGCCTCAGTGTTTGCACTTGCTGTTCTCTTAAACTAGAACACTTTTTTCCTAGACACCTCAATCACCTTACTGCTCACTGTCACCCCCTCAGAAAGACCTCCCTCCCAACCTTCTCATGCTTCAGGTTTCTTCAGCACTTAACACCAACTGACATTCAAAATACGTATTTACTTGTTTATCTCTTCCAAATGCAATGTAAGCACTATAAGGGCTAGGACTTTAATTCACCAATGTAGTCCCAGCACCCAGAACAGTGTCCAAAACATAATGAGTGTTGGATAAGTATTGGGGAAAAAAGTTAAATGAACAATACTGTGTGATTAAGGACCTATTACTATATTCAGTGCATGTGAAGAACACTTCAAAAATAAACCCAGTTACTTGGGATACATATTAAGAAGTCTGTCTTGGGGCACCTGGGTGGTTCAGTTGGTTAGGCATCCGCTTTTGGCTCAAGTCATGATCTCACAATTCGTGGGTTCGAGCCCCGCATCAGGCTCTGCGCTGACATCTCAGAGCCTAGAACCTGCTTCAGATTGTGTGTGTGTCTCTCTCTCTCAAAAATAAACAAACATTAAACAAACAAACAAGTCTGTCTGAGGGGCACCTGATAGGCTCAGTCTGTAGAACATGCAAATCTTGATCTTGGGGTCCTCAGTTCGAGCTCCACGTTGGGTGTAGTTTACTTTAAAAAAAAAGTCTGCCTTAGCTCTGAATTTCCTTGGTAAAAGGTCATGGAACTTAAAGCTTCAGCCTCTAACACTTTAATAGGTTGGCTAATGAATTATTTAATATGTTCAATGTTCATTACACAGCTAACAAAACTATATGGATGGTTCATTCACACTACCTCACCATCACCATGTACCTAATAACTTTCTGAATCAGACTTTTAGGCTACCATGCTTATTCTCCAACAGAGATATTAGCTAGGTAGTTCACCGCTGGATACTTGGTGCCTAAGAACACACCAGGCATAGAATAGGTGCTCGATAAATATCTGTTAAATCAAAGGATGAACAGACGAAAAAGTTTCCCACCTAGGTTATGTGTGCCAAAAACAAATAATCTGATTTTACTTGTGATTTATGTGGTCCGTCTGTGGTGTTCAATTTAGGTTTTATTTTTTTAAATGTTGGATTGACTATAAAAAGAACTACTTTTGTAAAAGGAAATTCTAAACTGTTTTTAATTTAACACAAGCAATAAAGGTGATAAAATCCAGAATTTCAGAGTTTTTATTTATTTTCTTTACATTAAGACAAGGCAAGGGGTGCCTGGGTGGTTCAGTCGGTTGAGCTCAGGTCAAGACCTCAGGGTTTATTCATGGGTTGGAATCCTGCATGGGGCTCCCAGCTATCAGGGTAGCTTTGGGTCTTCTGTGCCCCTCCCCCACTTGTGCAAGCACATTGCCTCTCTCTCAAAAAAAAAAAAATTGAAAAAAAGAGAAAGCAATAGAAAAATAAGTAGGAACTTATTGTATCTCAGTCTATCGATATCCTTGAAAATACGCTTTTTGGAGAGTACCTGGGTGGTTCAGTTAGTTACGCGTCCTACTCTGGATTTCAGCTGAAATGGGGAGCCTGCTTGGGAATTTTCTCTCTGCCTCTATCCGCCCCCAGCCCTCCGCTGAAGATTGTGTGTGCGCTCTCTCAAAATAATAATCTTAAGATGAAAATATGCATTTTAGGGAAAGTAGTATTATTTCATGTTTTACCAAAAAATGTGTGCAATATATTATATTATAAAATCACTAGCTTTGCACAGAATATATTAAACTGTTCCCAATCTAACGTCTTTAACTGTCCTCAGACTACAGTAATGTCACAAGAAGCATGCTGGTAATTAACTGACAACTTTTTTTTTTTTTCCCACTTTCACATTTCAATAAATCTGTTATGTACCTAACAAATCTGTCTTGGGCACAGAAGCTATGGCCACTACAGGACCTACCTTGAAAGATAGATAATCACAACCTAAACGGCTTAACACTTCAGATTTTCATCTATGAACAGTTTAGGATACTTCCTCCAACTTTCTGCCCTCAATCGTCCAAGTAAGCTTAAAAACGAAGCCAAATCAAAAATAATAAAAAACCTTTAAAATGTTACTCCTACTTTGAAACACGTTAAACTAAACTTTTTAGAGGAGCAATAAAAACTTAAAAGAGCTCACAGTGGCTTTATGCCCATGCCAAATTAGACAAAATTAAAAGCATCTTCCAAAGTAAAACCAGTCACGTCTAATTTCACTCTTAAGACACGACAGCTTGTCCATCAAGTCCCAAGCGAATTCCTAGAGATATTTCTAATTGTATTCTCACTTTTCGATGTAATGTAAAGTCAGGAACAATAATAAACAACACAATTTGTACGCTGAAGGGGCAGTTAAGTTCACCTTGTCCAGTCCTCTGTGCAGGAGAGAATACTCCCCCCAAAGGGTTAAGTGACTCGTCCTCGGTCACAGACAGTGGCAAGTCGGTATCAAAATTCAGATCTGAGGCTCTCACTTCAGCACTCCTGCCTCCACCTCTGGACAAACGCTCATATTCACGAGTTTGACTTTATTAACGAAAACCACACCGTCTAAGGTGCGGCGAGTAACAAGCTCTGGGAATGCCAGACGGGAAAACGAAAGCTCAGGCCCGCGTCGCAGCAGCAGCAGCAGCAGCAGCAGCAGCAGCAGCAGCACGGAAACGCCCGCCCAGACCGCCGAGAGGAACACGGAGAACAGCGCAGCCGAGACAAAGAGGCAGGGAGCGGCCGGTGCGGGGCCCGAGCAGAGGCGGGGGGAGCGAGGGACCAAGATGAAGGCAGCGCGGCAGAGGACGGGAGGGCTCAGCGGCGGCGGACACCGAGGAGCTGCGGCGCGGGCTACGCGCGGCCGGCGGCTCGAGACGCGGGGCTCGCGCTCGAAAATGCA